ACGTACTCATGCACGCACAATCACATACTGACGTACTCATGCACGCACAATCACACACGTACTCATGCACGCACAGTCACATACTCGCGTACTCATGCACGCACAATCACACACACGTACTCATGCACACACAATCACATACTCATGTACTCATGCACGCACAATCACACACACGTACTCATGCACGCACAGTCACATACTGACGTACTCATGCACGCACAATCACATACTGACGTACTCATGCACGCACACTCATACAGCTGTTACACTTTCCCGCTGTTGGCAGGTGAGCACTACTGGAAGCTGACAGAGGAAGGCTTAGCTGCCGGGTACCCGCGACTCATCTCCAAGAGCTGGCAAGGCCTGCCTAGTGACATCGACGCCGCGTTTACTTACCGCAATGGTAAGACATACTTCTTCAAGGGCTCCCTGTACTGGCGCTACGTCGGTAAGAAGATGGACGGCGATTACCCGAAGCAGATCTCAGAAGGATTCACAGGAATTCCAGACAACGTCGACGCAGCCCTCGTCTGGGGTGGTAATGGAAAGATATACTTCTTTAAGGGTGAGTTAAATTTGGGACTTTCTGAGCCGATAGATCTGTGTGAAGAGTATCGAATATCTCATCGACAAATAGCCCGTCTAGTCTCGAATTTATAAACTGAACTCAGACATGTTTGTTGATCTCAGCTATTTGGCATGTGTGGTATCACCATTTACCGAAGAGGCTGGTCCACTGGTATCTCTGTAGATTTCCATCGGGAAATTCTAGGTTCAAATCTCGGCCAACACACCGGCTAACATGACTGAGCTTTTTCGTTCTTTTCCTCAGTTTCTCCCCGTAAATTCCAGGATAGTTCGTCGATGAGGTCATAACCATTTCCTCCCGAGTCCTTTCAAATTCATTACTTATTTTCATACTAGCACGATACGCTATGCAGCCGATGATACTGAAAGAGCTGTAACGAATTATGATTCGCGTGATGACCTCAGCGGTTTGATGTGTGTGTGATGAACCTCTGATCTGATTTCAGGCAGCAAGTTTTGGCGATTCGACCCGTCACAGAAGCCCCCCGTGAAGAAAACATATCCGAAGCCCATCTCCAATTGGGAGGGAATACCGGACAATTTGGACGCTGCACTTCAGTACACGAATGGCTACACATACTTCTTCAAACGAGGATACTACTACCGGTTCAATGACAGAACCTTCTCGGTGAGCCCCCATGTTTCTCTGATCTGAGCTCTGACCTGCTGAGTGACTACAAGCTTCTCAGAAAGGACTCTGGTTCGTGCAGTTACATACACACACATTTACAGTACAGTCGGGCAGGTCTCTCTGACTGCCATCACAAGCCGCCAGTAACTGATAATGTGGCTGAAGCCGATCCAGCTGCATCAGTTCTTCTGTAGTTCCAGGAAATGAAAAGAGTCTTTGTGGGCTTCCTCAACGCTAATACACAAACAAAGAATATTCTATGGCCAGTCCCACGTTTGTAGTAAATGTAGAAAGGCGTTTAAATTGCACAGCCTACTTCATGCTCGGCCAGCTGATCTGTGCCGTGTCCGCAACCGGTAGCTGCACATCGCCACATCTGTCCGTCCGCATGGAACAGCGCGAGAAACACTGGACGTATCTCCACGAAATTTGACTCTGTGGAGTTTCAATGAAATTGTCTATAAATTCTATTTTTTTTTTTTTAAATATCGGAGAGCAATGAGGGACACTGCAGGAAGTTAGACAGACTTGAAAGGATTCTCACGATGGTGTATACTGTACTTCTTTTGNGTTCTTGGGCTTGGTCGTTCTCAACGGAATGCTTAGTTGATATTGCAGCCGGTATAGCAACTGGCTACAGGCTGGACGACCGAGGGGTCCGAGTTCAGTCTCGGTAAGGTGAAGAATGTTCCCATCTCAAGTCGTCTAGACCGGCTCTGGGGCCCCACTAAGCCTCCTACCAAACGGGTACCGGAGGATTCTTTCCCGGGGATAAAGCGGCCGGAGCGTGAAGCTGGCCACTCACCTCCAAGCAGCGCCGAGGTCAAGAAAACGTGGATATATACATCCACTCCCCCACACGTCTTCATGACGTAGTGCTTAATTAGCTAAGCACTGGGCCAAATTTTAAGGTGCGTCACCCTCCCTCCCTGTCACAATGCTCCTGAAAACACTGTTCCCCTAAGTCTCGTTTGCCCTCACGCTCAGCCCAAGGACCTGTACAGTGTACGAGTCTGATCAGCAACTACTACCTGAGTCAAAACAGAACTACTTTATTTACTTTAGTTCAGTTGATCACTACACAGGTGCGCTAGTGACCTGTACGTTTTGAACTGATGCTATGCGCAGTATGTATGTCCGTTTCCGCCCCTTCATCTCGCAAGTGTCAGTGTCAACCTGACAGATGACTGCTCTGTGTTTCAGGTCGATACGGCAGATCCTGCTTTCCCACGACCTGCAGGATTTTGGTGGTTCGGCTGCAAGTCGGCGGCGAGCGGTGGTAATAAAGGATGGTTCCTGACCGGGTCATCGTACCCCGGACTGTCAGGGGCTGAGGTTGGGGATACAACGCGGAGATCCTCCCGGGGGGATGATGCAGATCTCCATAACTCGGACGTGGATGATCTCATATTAGACGCAGGTGAGGAGGGTCAGCATCTCCAGAGCGTGGCAAAGGCCCTGCTTCCGGCTGCCACGTCGGCTTTCTACTGGTTACGCCAACTGGTCATAGGCCTTACCGATCTTAGCGGCAGGAGTAACACTGAATGGATAGACGTGCCCTAGTAACTATACAGCCTTCGTAAAGTCATCGTGATGCAACCCGCCGTGGTATTCTGACTTAGATGAGATAACCAGGAAAAGCAGGGACAATGAGTGACCTTGACTTCGGAATGCCTTAATCAGATCATTGAGAATGAGAGGAAAAACCGGACCAGGGTAGAACAGCTGAGTGATGTTAGGTACAGAGACGGCTTGAGCATGCGTGCGGCTCCAGCCCCGCGCTTGGTTAAAATCAAAATAGCTTTTCTCGAAACGTCGCAATTAGAAGAAGCACGGAATTCGGAAACAGTCATTGATGTCACGGATTTTATTTACGTCGTCATGGGCACCAGCAGAGAAGGGAAAGACACTTATACAGGTGACCCAGGAGGAAAGGTCAGTATCCTGGGAGGTCATAGTATCGGTAATTCTAAGCAAAAAGGTGTATATGTATGTACATGTTTCCTATTCCGAACGGTTTCCGAGATAGAGCTATTTCACTGTACACTGTACAGACGAGCAACACGCCATGTCCCCAGACGGGTTGCAGAGTGCACTGATGCTGACGGTGGAATTTTCGAAAATGTATTGCACTAGGTAAACTGTGCCAACTTTGTCACTTGAATAGCAAATACCAGTATTACAAACAGCACGTAATCTCTCTTTCTTTTCAACAATATGGAACTGTACGGTGAAATAGCTCTAGCTCGGAAACCGTTCGGAATAGGACACATGCACATACACACATTTTGCTTAGCATAACTGATACTGTGACCCCCAGAATATTGACCTTTCCTCCTAGGACACTCTATGTAGCCCCTCCCGGATTCTTAAAAAAGAAAATCAAAATTAAAAGACAGATAATATACAAATGTTGAGTTTCTTGAGGCGGTGATGGTTAAGATTGTCATATTCTGTGTCGTAGCACCGTGTAGTCTTTTGGTCGGATACCGACGTTTCGGAGAGACATACCTCAATATTGAACCATAAGCATACTCGCATGTCACAGCTCAAAAGACCACAATTTTAAGAAAGCAATATATAAAATATTAACATCAAAAACTGATACAAACCCTGTGACTTTAGTCCGCAAGCGAACTATACCTAACGAGCGACCGCCGCTTGTCGGCGATGTTAGTGCCAACTTTAGCGGATAGAGGATGTCGCGTGATCAGCGCAACGAATCCCCGCGGCCGTTAATCTCGGTTTTGTATACTTTTCCATTCAAGTAGCTACTCAATTATCCTCGCGAGGCTAAGTGGACCCCGTTCCAGACTCACTACTTCTCAGAAAATCTGGTAGCGCCGGGAATCGAACCCGGGACCTCTGGATCTGTAGCCAGTAACTCTGACCTCTAGACCACAGAGGCATGATATCGATTTTAAATGTGGCCCTGTCTGTTTTTCGCTATAGAGATGCACAATCCCTAAGGCAGTCCATACCGGTCCATACGATGCTTAAGCGTTTGTTTGCAGGCACCTTTCTTGTCTGGCCCCCTTATTTAGGCACCCATAAACAGTTGTGTAAGATATCTGCCAACTGATGGTCTCGATAGGAACAAGAGATCGATAGAATGTAATTTTTATAACCAGAAAGAAAACGGCTTGTAAAAGGCACCGCCGGCCCATGCGCATTCGCATCTCGGCAGTGTTGCCACCTCAACCGCGATGAGACAGTAACGTCAGAAGAGAATGGATAAGCTAAGGAAATGTTTCAGAACGTCGTCTGATTGCCGAGTTTAACTGATACAGGGCGTCACAGAAATCAGTCGCGTATACAGTGATGTTTGGATACAAAAAAGGGTCACATTCTTGTTGCAAATTAATCATGGCCAGAAAGACAAATTGCGATATACGTGTTCATTAACATAACAAGGGCTGCCATGATATATAAGGTAAATCCAATTGCGTGACAATCATTTCATGCTACAAACTACAAATTCACCGCGAAATTGGTTGTGTGTTCGACAGTTAGTTTTAGCAATTTTTCTTACATAGCTCCACAATGGAATCATCTACAGGGACTGTTGACACTAACTGTGAAACACGTACGTTAATTTGTTGGTAAGAATACCACATCACGATATAGGGGTATATCGCGAGATCGGATAGCTTTACCCTAACATTTTCTGGAGCAACAAATGCCTCATTTGAGCTTCAGTGGCAGTTGTTTACCTTACCTCCGAATTAAAATCGCATGTTACTGTTATGTGTTAATGTGCATGGCACTTGCAGTGTTCTTAATAAACTAAAATTGGCCCCTAACTGAGATGACTTGGTATACAGGGGGCAGTGAAATCAGGATGTTGGGGTGGCTGCGATCTGTAATTTTGTGTACTGAATCAAAATTTTATGCAAGGCAATTGTTTGTGCGTAAATTCCACATGATTTAAAATAGTAATCATGACAGAATTGCTTATGATATGAAATAAAACGCGATGGAAACACTGGCATGCCAAAGAACGTAAGAAGGTAGAGATGACTCAGAACATTCACATGCATCTGAACACCCAGAAGCTCCTGTAGTGAATGGTATAAAGTTTCATTATTTTTACGTGGGTACCGGTGCGCATGTGCGAAAATTCCGGGATGAGGAAGGAGCCAAAGAACTTTCCAGATTAAGTGATGGGTTAAATGCAGGCTTGGATAGCGTGTTCGAATCCCGCTAAGAACAAATATTTTTTTCGATTTCTTCTATATTGTTTAACGGTTATTTATATGTGGCCGAGCCCACATCTAGGGGGGGAGCGGACTGTATATGAAAGTAATCCATTACTTCAGATTAATTTCAAGTTAAGAAAAACATGGCGTATATTATCACTGAAGTAATGAAAATCGGTGCATACTTTTGGAAGGTAATGTTACTTGATAATGAGCTCTGTCTGTCCTGCGCAGAATAGCAAAATAAATTGGCCATACCAGTAGCAAGTGTCAGCAACGTGTAGCTTAGATTCAGTTTAATATATTAACAAATCCCCACCCTCGCCTCTACAGCTGACGTCATGAATGACGACAGTTGACAGTCTGTCTGTATGTATTAGGATAATTGCATGTCTATTCTAACTGAAGTGTACATGCCATAACGTAATTTATTTGTTTGTGGATTTCCGTTTCTTAGGACAACCAGACAGGCTAAATTATTGTTCGCATTTGCGTTGTCTGAATGCCTTTATTGCAAAAATACTACATGCAAACTGACCCCTTTTGCTTTATGGAGGCCCACAGAGAGCAGAATTGCTGTACCATTAGTAAAAAATAACTGTAGTTTTCTAAGCGGATACTAAAGTTTCGGAGGACCATGCTGCTACCAGCTTCAGAATCTGAACAATGGCCGCCGTGAAAATCTCGAAAAGTAATTTAATACTATACATGACGCCGTATAGTCTTGCAGAGGGTACCACATTCTGCTCTGTAGATGTAGCAAGTGTGTTCTTCCGAAACGTTTGTATTCATCTACCAGACTATAAGGTGTCATAACCAGAAGCCCACAACTTTAACTTTTAATACAGACTGCAGTGGCAGAGTTGCAGCTGTCGCTGTAGTGCGGAGACTGTAGCGCCTCTATCGACGTTCCCGCGAATTCGCTGCAACTGTCACGGAGCGGGCGTTATATTTTGTAAATATATACAGGCATATGTGGCATCTTTTTTTTTTTTTAAATAAGTTGTCATTTACAAGGTTCCCGGAAAATCTGTTGTTAAAGAATGAACTGTCTGGTTGCCTTACCTTGCAAAGTGAAACGGCCTCTCTTATTACTTTGCCTTACCTTGCAAGTAGATAATGAAATGCTGTGTTGTATGTGGTGGAAGTAACAAGGGAACTGCATGCATTTCTAACAGTAATACTGGCATAAGCCACTGAACTGACTGCATGACGTAGTGTGATAAGTTACGTGTTCATGTGTGCGTCAGCATTGGGACATCTGCTGATATCTTTATGAGCATTTAAGAAATCGATGAATTGACATCTGACACTGGATACATTTTTCGTCGGTTGATTTTTATTTGTCGGAAACAGTTAAAACAACATTCAGTTTTTACTGTTCAACTTCTCGTATTAACTTCGTTTACTAGGGCCGCGCCAGAGCTCAAGCGGTTAGTTGCTGGCTTCCCACCGCGGCGACCTGGGTTCGATCACCGGTCTGGTCAAGTGGGATTTGTGGTGTACAAAGTGGCGCTTGGGCAGGTTTTCTCCGAGTACTTCGGTTTCCCCTGCCAATCTTCATTTCACCAATTGCTCCACAATCACCCTCACCTATTATCTGGGGCTGGTATAATAGGCCAGAAGTGGCTGCAGTACAAGGGACTTAGTCCCACCCCACTAGTAATAAAAAAACTTCATTTACTTGAGGTTTTTTAACGCACGAATGTGTACTAAAGTCTATGGCCATTTGTATAGTTCTATGTCTGTCCGTCCGATGTTTTAGAGCACTTACCGTCGATTCTTCGTTTTAATAAAATCTTATATATCAGAGAATTGTATCAACATTAAAGTCTGTAATCACTGTATGGGTGTGTCACGGCTGTAACACGCTTAAAAGACTGTTTCTAAAAACCGTTTTATACGTTTTAAAACAAGCATATTTTCGGAACCGAAGTGAAAAAATTGTTTGTAACGAAAATGAACATATTAAGGTCACATGGACTTTCCGGTTGAATTACAACAAGTTCACTGCCACTGGTGTTCACTTCAACCTTCGAAAAATGCTTTGTTACATGGGCATATCAGACTTTAAAACAGAAATATAATATTGTTGTATTTCAGCATCCTGAAATCATTAAATCTGTTAAAAAATAAATTAAAATTCTGAATTTAAATTTATGAATATGTTGGATTATGTTGAAGGTTATATTAAATTCACATGAATTGTGTTGGAATGCAT